GTTCTCATATATTAATTACATCCTTGTTCATTTTCTACCCGTATCACCTCGACACCGTTCCACAACTGAGCGTTTTAAGGTAGTTTTTGCCGCGCATCATCACTATGTAGAACCAGCTGCCCACTGAAGTATTTCCGAACCAATTCGATACCTGCAAGAATAGAGCGTTCCAATTCATAAAAGGCCAGCAACGCACTCGCGAGCCCTCTGGCATGGAGAGTGTCCTTTGGTGGCGGTATCTCTTAACATCAGATGAGCCTAAGCCCGTTTGCCCCCAGTTCTATAAAATATAATAAAAACATTTCTTCAGATATCGGCTTTTATCGGATTTGTTGTGTTTGCCAGTTTATATAAAAAGCTAACAGGACTGTATTCAAATTCAGAAATCATTTAATCATATGGGTAACACTTTGTACACTTATGACTTGTCAGTAAAGAAATACATATAAATGCTTCTAATTTTACATTTAGTGCCAGTTCTCAAATCAAGGGCGTAGAACGGAAGAGAAGAACTGGCAATAAACTCTCCGCCACTCTTTTTAATCGCCATGTTTTTTTACACAACGTTTGTAAAGAGCTGCAACCATTAAACCATGTTCCACATGACATCTTAAGTAATTAATAATAATAACATAAATTAAAAACAAAGAGTTGTCCTCTATCAGCAGGAGGCATGGTGAAATAGGAGCACGCACTTACTTACTCTCGTGGGAACAACACGCAAACACTATGAGTAATATACTAATAGATCTTCTTCACCTGTTACTAACACATCAACAGCTGACGTTCTTCAATCTATATATTTCCTAATACGAAAGAATTGTGAGTATTGTTTAACTATCTTATATTAAGAATACAAAAACGCACGTACAACGTGATCTATCTTTGAAAACGGTGGAGAAATATCAACTGGATTTACCCTTTGTCCTCACGTCTGTATCATTTGATATTCGTAACGTCAAAGGTTAGCAGTTCGTGATAAATTGAGCATTTTTTCATAGATTTGAATGAATAGACAAGAGCCAGGTTGTTGGTGGAATACGTGGGTAACACTGAAAATGTTTAGAATTTTTTTTTTCTTGCCAGTTATAAAACTTTTTTTGAATTTCAATTTTAGAACTCTTTGATAACCTAATGTATAGGTCGGTTATCGAAAGCTGGCGGGTTCACAGTACTCACACTAATGCAATTTCACATACAGTATGTTTCAAAATATGATTTTTTTGCCATGCTATACATTTTAGTCCACTCATACACGACGGACAGTCTATTCATGATGTATTTATGATTTTTGTGAATTGGCGGCAAATCTAAAACTCTTGTTACACGCGAAAATTAACCTAACGCGAGAAAATTTTCGGTCAATGATTTATTATGACATTCGTTGTGGGCTTACGCCCGAATCCAATAATCAATCCACAATCTGAGATCAGACCGTGACAGTCGATCGATCTCCTATCTGCATCCCAATAACCAAACCCTACGAACCAAATCCATTTTTGGCGACGGATAAAATGCTCTTTGTCGTTCCTTTTTACCGAGTTTTCACTCATATTTGATAATCAATGTAAACCAAATAACGTAATAAAAACCGTACAAATAACATTAAAATATACATGTGTATGTTTAAAACATAGCAAACTGTTTTTTTAATTATTTAAAAAACTGGTGTAAGTTAAAATCTGTTAAAATAATTAACTGTTGAAATCGAGCTTTCGTCAACTGTCATTTTTATACAAATGTATATCCACAGACACCGATACGACCTCCCATGGATAGCTTGTATCGACAGATGGCTATTACAATCCGTCGATTGGTTATTGGCACACTTATTACAACATTTGGATTAAGATTACTATCTCAGATGGTGGATTATGGATTGTCATAGGATATTGGGTTCGGGCGTTACTCAACAACAAAGCTATGATAGGCTGCGATTAGCATTTCTTAATGAAGCCCCATCTTTTGCCACTATTTTCTCAGTGGGCCCACTGCTTTTCTCAGTGGTTCCATCGAATGCGACGATGTGTAGATAGAAACCGAGATTACTTTGAAAAACAATAAAAGTATTGGCAACTTTCTACATGTAGCCGTTTTTCATTTTCTAAAAATTTTCAGAGTTACCTAGGTATAAGTAGTCAAGAAAAGAGTGTACCAATTCAAAAAATGCCGGCAACGCCTTGGGAGCTATCTTGCAATGTAAGTGTTCATGGTATCAGGTGTATCACTAAACATTAGGTGAGCCTCCTGTCCGTTTGCGTTGCGTATTGTGAATATTTTTAGACTTAGGAGCTTTAGATGAAATTCAGAGTAGATATTTAGCTCTAAGTGTTGACTCTGATTTCCCTAAATAAATAACGCTTCCGTTCTTTGTGATTACTGTAAACCGCAAATGTATCAATAAATTTTTCTTTCTTTCCCGTATCGTGAAGAACTAAAATCTGAGAACCAAAGATCGACGTTGTTATAATATGAGATAATCTTTCACATTTATAGTTCAGAAAAATTTTGGCTAATAATAAGGCTATGAAAGTCAGGGATTTATAGCATTTTAATGGCGAAAGAATTTTTGAAGGGTTTTGGTTAATATAAAATGAATCTTTGCTTTATAATATTAGTATAAATAACACTCAAAGAAACGTACAGAAATCTGTAGCGCAGACCAGTGGTTTTGGAGTCCCCGGTAGAATGTGAGAGAAACCCCGGAGCAATGCAAGTAATCACGAGTTACCTAATCATATCGGATGATAAAATCCGTGATTTTGTTTCCGGATGGGTTTAAACAAGGATCCGAGGTTATATACATTTTGACATATTTCAAACTTTTATTGATGCTGAAATGGATCAGAAAAAAATATTTAAATACTGTTTAATGGGTGTCCTTAAAACTAAGGGGTAAATTAGTCTAAATTACCGATACATGCAAAGTTACCGGGTAAAATAGGAGAATAGAAGCTAGAACCTAGTTGGTAAAACTAATATTTTAAATAAATGGGTCACATTGTAATACAATTTTATGTATCAAAGGAGGCAAAGTAGTGCCCTTGTCGCAGCTAGATACTATAAAAGTTCATGAATATTTGACCCAGACCTGGCTGTGTCAAGGAGCAAACCAAATACAGAAGAAAACCTAATTAAAGTAATGAGTCTTGATTATATTATATAACCTTTTTAACAAATAACTAGTCTGGTGTCTATCGTTAACAATTTCCTTTTAATTTCTTCGTAAAAAAGGAAAAATATGATAGGTATCATTTATGTTGCTTTAATTTAACGATATTTTTTTATTAAAAGTTATGTATTATAAGGGGCATAAAACTTTTCTCAAGTTTTATTAAGGCTAGTTAAGGGGCATGGCACAAAAAATATTGGGAAACACAACAAAATTTTTTTTGAATACGCAGGTCTAGATAGGAATCAGCCAATTAAGTTTTCCAAATAAAAAATAGCTCCACCATGTAAGGGCTAATGTGTAAAATGATATGGATTTACTAAGTTCAAAACTGTTTAAATTTTGCAATTAGTGTATTGAAAGGAATTTATCTCAAAAACTTTATTCATATAGATAACAAAGTACATTAATGAACGTCAACAGAAAAGATGTTAAATTGATTCTAAATTTACATTTACTACCAGTTTGCAAGTCAAGGGCGTAGAGCGGGAAAGAAGAACAGCCTTGCGATTCTGTAACTCACTTTTCGAACTCACACAGCGGTTTTCGCATCGGCGGTTGATGACTGATTGTGTTGGTGTTGGTGTGCACGCTATTTATTTCTAGCTTAGCTTAGCCTAGCTTGCTTGGCATAGCTTAGTTTAGCCTTGGCATAGCTTAGTTTTCGGTCTGCAACCGGCTTGAAACTCGCCGCCACTCTTTTTAATCGCCAAGTTTTGAGACATGCAAATAATTGTTTGACCTGGAGCAACTCAACCCCAAGAATCATGTAAAATTCGTCAAATTTATAATATATCTATAAACCTCGCAATCATTTGAAAATATAAAATTCATTTATGATCTTTCAAGTTCTACTTTTACTTTGTATTTTTCGCTATCAGGATAGGATAAGACGCACGACGTGAATAAATACTTATCCTATCGTGTGAAATAGCCTTTATTGTTATTGAAATTTTCCCAGAAGTTTAGTTAGCATAGTATCAAACGACCAATTTTTGAAATAATTGAAAAATTTTAAAAAAGTGTAATTAAAACTTGCTTATAGTTTTTGTACTTAAATTAAAATGTGGTTTTTAAATTTTCTATCTGAATTAAAAAAATTAACGAGTTTCTATCAAGAGCTATAAAATATGTGTTTAGGTGTTTCATATGTTGCGGTCACTTAGTTAAGGAGTAGTAGGAAATAAAAAAATATCGGCTAGTAATCATTTATTTCGCAAATTGTACGCTGCTGTCGAAATACGATATGTTTGGTATACATAAACCCCTACTAGAGTAAACACAGTAGGAGGTAAGGGACTAAACCAAAGTCTCGCGTTTCTTGTTTGTGGATTTCTTTTGAACCATGATAGAAAATATCACGTAGAAACCGGCATATTTTAGATTTAACAATCGAACAAAAATCACCAACTTGACTACAAAAACACATTTAATGTTTGGTGCTCCGTAAAGGCCTGTAACACGGATGGGAGGACACAAGGGTTTTCTACCTAATTCCCCGACTATAATGTCGTTGGAGGTATTAAGAAACTTAGGTAACGTAACTTATAGCATTTCTTTTAACAACTTTTTGTATAATATACAGCAAATTTTAGAAAGATGTCGCTATTATTCAAAATTATCTCTACTACGTTCAGTCCCATAACTTGTTCAATGTTGTACCGTAGCAATACAATGGACAGTCAGTCAGGACATGTAATACTATTTCTATATATAGATTAGGATAGCAAACTGTTACAGCAAAAGTAGCTGTTAATTGTTTGCAGATAATCGTCGCACACGCCGACACTTGACTAATAGATGTTTCGTTTGGTAAGGTGAGGCGCAGATGACGTACTGGTTCACGCGTTACAAGTACAAATTCACCGAAGTGGACTACAGCTTGTTCTTAACATACTCCGTCCTCGTTGGTACTGTTGGTAAGTGCTTTTTTATTACTATAGATCCAGGCAAATAAGTTGGCAAGATCCACCGTAGTTTGAGTACTACAAGTATTGTAAAATCCTATCAGCTAAGTGCTCGGTAATTTTAGATATGTGGTGACTTTCTGACGCCCTAATTGTTTAATTTACCCTTAACGATCTTGCCAAATTATGGGCCCATATATATGTGCGATGCGGAGATTATGTTGGAAACATAATCTCCGCATTGTTGTACGATTTGAACGTAGTAGTGTAGTTGAACGATTTTCTAATCGGAAGGCTAATCTTTTTGTTGAAGTAATTTATTATCATCTGTAGATATAGTAGTAGCTTGATTAAAGTTTAAAACGTAATTTAAAAGTTTATCCTATAACTTTGTAGAATAAATATTAGCCCGGAAACATTAATCAAAAGTGAATTATTCATAATTATTTACATTTCTTTTAATCAGAGTACTCAGTTAGATTACAAGCATAGTCTAATAAAAATACAAAGAATATTTCAACTGAATCGAACGAATGCATTGTCTGTGTCTGTTTTTTTGCAGAAATAATAATTAAAAAGAAACTCAACATTGGCGGTTTGTATTAACTAAAATTATTTTATTGAATTTGCAGACTACTAATTAAATATTTAAATCGAAATTTAGTTAATAGTAAAGAAATACAATAAGTATTATATTATATATTTATTCGTTGTTACGATATTGTCGAAAACAAAAAATAATAATATTAACTACATAAGATACAGAATATCACTACTATGAACTCACTCTGCAAACATATAAATATGTCGATAGTGTCGGAGACAGCATTCAGTAGGCGCAACGTCTTTGTAAACGGGGATCTGTGCAACAGACTGGTTCTGGGCCCTTGGTATCGCAAACAGCCTTGGCCTTCCCAAATATTCCCTTGGTACAAAGAACTCAAGTTCTTGGACAACACTTGGGTTTCTCACCAACCCCCGCAAGACGTTAAATAGGTAGTAGGGCAACTGTAAGTCCCATTTTGTTTCTAATTCATTGTACCACATCATCCAAGTCAAATAATGTTTGGTAAGAGATAGATATCAATACAGTCTGTAAGAAAGAACACATTTTTTTATCTGGTTCCCGGTTTATTGCTACGACTACTAATCCGCTACGTCGTAGCTGCATTTGTATGTAGCATTTGGCACATATAAAATTATTCTCCGATTAATAGGGGCGCGGTCGCAACTCGACGAAATTTATAATATCTCATAACGATGTATCTTATCTCTTTTATATCAACAACATAATTATAATAGGTATTAAAATAACCTACAGCCTGCAAAACAGAGATAAAAATATGTTTATGATGGAGTATTATTCTTCACCTCAGTTTCAGTAATCAAGCATTTCCTTTAGGACTACTAAATTTCACTGGAAGTCTTTTAATTAAAATGTAATATTGACATGTATAAAGAAATGTGTATGTATGTGTTTTACCATTATGGAAACAGCTATAAATAAAATAGGACTGGCACAAAATACAAAAACCAAATCAAAAAAACAGAAAATAATTCGTTAAAATAACTTAGAAAAATATTATCTGTATAGGAATACAGATTAAGCCTTAACGCGTGGCGTTATACATTTTGTAAAACCATTTCAATGTTCAATCTATATTTAAATCTCTCTGATATGTCCTATACCACAAATAGTCCAAAAAGCGTAACAAATACTCGTACGCTTATATTGTCATAAAACAGTCAGTCCACAATTACAAATCGAGGGTATTAATATCATAATATTATTTTATATTAATATTTAACTGGTGTAATGGAATAAAAAAATCTCATTGTAATTATAACCTTGCGAAAATTAATTCAATGACCCGTTCAAATTAATACATCGATCAATAAGTCGTGACAGTTTATTAGCGCTGAATGAAAAAAGATAAATGAAGAAAGATACATGAAAAAAGATAAAAATAATATTATTTATGTACCTTTCTCGGAATATAATAATACATTTTGACCGTCATTTTCTTAGATTAACTAACATCTTAAGAATGTGGTGCTTGGTCCGAACCTAGCTAGCTACACGTAAGATCTTTATTAACGGGGATCTGTGCAACAGACTGTCTGGCCCTTGGTATCGTAAACAACCTTCGCCTTTGCACATATCCCATAGGTACAAAAGAAATGGAGTTCTTAAGAAGAGAAAATCCCGAGTAAAGTTCTCACCACCCCCCCGCAAGACATTAAGTACTGTAGGGCCCGTCTTGTTTCTAATTTATTGTACCCCACCATCCCTAAGACAAATAATGTTAGATACAGTTTGTATTGAAGAAAACGAGTAAACTTAATCTATATACGAGTACACGCTCCAAAACAAGTATTTAGTTTCATGCCTAAACAGACGAATCACTGTAACATACTTCAAACCAATCCGTTGTACAAGCTTGTGTGCGTATGTTAGTAAACGTTGTTGCCCTTCGAAGCACAAACCCCATTCTTTATTAACCTTTCTTGTAAATTTCCACTATGTGATCCCAAATATTCATTTGGGTTCTAAGATAGGTATTTATTATAGGTAAATGATGTTTTGTCTCATATATATTTCCAAAATGCAAAGGACAACATTTAAAATCATAATAACAATAAGACCTAAATTGTTATTGCATTATTTTAGATAAAATAATGTAACAAATGAAATATTTATTAAAATCGATCTCAATTTTATTTCTGCAATAAAAATTGCTATTGTCCATTATTTCAATAGAATTGCATAATCTGTGGTTACATTCAGCCAATTGTCAATCTCAATCATTCGTCTATATAAGTTAGGAATGATCTAGAATTATCCATATTTTTAGATGCGATAAGAATTATGTGAATAATCATTTATCACGTATGTTTAACATCGGAAATTATTATTAGTAACTCCAATTAAACGTGTACATAAACATGACACATAAGGCGAGATTTAAAGTGTGACACATCGGCAAACTGCAAATTAGAACAATTTGTTTGTAAAATTTATTGCGTTGAGACTATTTACGAATGATTTTCAAATGTCAATGTAAACATTATAGGATGTAATTAAAAAATATATATTTTCTAAAAAAACATACATGTCACACATACATGAGAAAAAAAAAGTAAAAACAAAAAGTTATCACCATGTCCATAACCAGAAAACTTCGCGGGCGTAATCGAAACCGGTACACTGCTACTATTATCTCAAGAGGCAAGCTGTTGTAAAGACTCACTCCAAAATAGGCTATATTGTTGCGACCGTATTCGATTCTGATTTTAGGTAGATGTATATGATTAGTGTTAGCTGTATGAGCAGTGTTGGCCTAGTGGCTTCAGCGTGTGACTCTCATACCTGAGGTTGTAGGTTCGATCCCCGGCTGTGCACCAATGGACTTTCTTTCTATGTGCGGATTTAACATTTGCTCGAACGGTGAAGGAAAACATCGTGAGGAAACAAACATGTCTTAGACCCAAAACGTCGGCGGCGTGTGTCAGGCACTGGAGGCTGATCACCTACTTGCCTATTAGATTTAAAAATGATCATGAAACAGATTCATATATCTGAAGCCAAGACCTAAAGAGGTTGTAGCGCCACTGATTTTTTTAAATATGATTAGTGTTTTTCCAGCTAATTGTGGGGTTGAAGTATATAATATACTAAAGTATTTAATTCTCGTGTATTCTTATGTAAAATGTTTAACCTTAATTTAGGAACACATTGATTCAAAAGCTTTATTACATGTTTGATTACCGCCTTATAATAGATATACGTCATGTTTAATATTATACGTAATCCTTTAATAATCAACTACTACCATAGGCGATTCGAATTGATTCCTCTTTAATAATGGTATTACTCACGTAACTAACACACGTTACGTAAACAGTCACGTAAAAACCCAACGCATTTCAATTCATTTTCGAAATATTGTTTATAGTATCGCGAAATAATAACTACAAATCTCCTAATACTATTCACTCGAGGCAAGCTAACCATTTCTAGATATCGAACTCTTTACACTGGTATATATACTATTTCAAAATATATTTTGGTACATTTACTTGAAAGAAGCCTAAAAGTTTGCCTATTATGAATAATATTAGGAGATATCTTCAAATTATATAAATGTAAACTAGGTTTAGTTATATATATATATATTTTAGTTAATAATTAGAAGTGCAAACCGAGAGCAATTATCGCACACTTGAAATCGGCCCTTCAGTTTTTCCCATAGTCATAAATTGTACTATAATATTTTCGTTTCCAATAAAGTCCAAAAGGTCGCCTACACTTACATTCTTTATAGGTAACATAAGTACATTTTTAGTACCTCATAGATATTCTCTATGGAATTCTTCCATAAAAAATCTTATTATAATATTTAACTATTCGATTGTAATAATCGAAATTTGTCACCAAAATTAAATAAAAAATATAAAATCATATTACAGGTTCCTTCATTACGATATACCTGTTCAGTAAGAGATGGAAAATCGAAGATAGCATTATCGGAATCATTGCTTGTGTCAGCCGTGTAGCAGCCAGTGTGGTGTATGCAATGGCACCGAACAGAACTGTGTACTTCCTGGGACCAGTTCTGGATATGTTCAGTGCGGCTGCTGCGACGTCCCTTCGATCGATTGCTACTAAATTGGTCAATGCAGATGAAGTTGGTAAGTAATGTTTTTGGATTGCTTAAAGATTTATCTGGTGTTCATGAATACGTATAACGGTTACATGTTCATGAATACGAGTAACAACTAACGGTTAACTAGTAAACCTCGCAATTTTGATGAATTTTAAATTTCGAACGTTTTTGCAAAGCTTTGACAATGATTCCCCGGACAGTTATCATGTTCTGTGGTTGTTAGAAAGCCTTTAAAATGATGTATTCGAATTTTAAAATAAAACCTGTATCGCCACTTTGTCTCCTACTGTTTAATTTCGCTCATTCAAATCCAGGAAAAATTATTTAATGCATGCGCTGGTGGGTTCATTACTATAGCAATTATATTTTATATCGGTGATTACTATTTTCTAAGATCCCTCATTTCCGGTAACAAAACTTTGTTCCCTACCACTGGTGGTAGAATAATATATAGCTAATTTTAGACCATACAAATCTCCACAGCGCAATGAACGAACTAATCAAAATATTTGACTACAAATATAACGTTCTTGAGTGACAGTTGACATTATCTCTATGGATATTTGATAATTACAGCGCATATAGTTTATTTAATTTTCCACAGTTACGGTTTTAGTTATGGATTCAGAAACAGTTTAGTATAGATTTAATAGTCTCATTCTCAAGTTATAATCATAATAATAAAAAAAGCAAAAAAGCGGCTGCAGAGCAGGCGAAAATATAAAAATACATAAATACGGCTCAAATATAAGACTCATTCCTCCAACTTCGATTTTGTTCCCTTTGGAGTAGATACTCTTGGACCGTGGAGTGCACAGGCACTTATAAATATTTAAGTTGGCGCCTAAAACGCAATACAGCGAGGAAATGCTGCAGGCGTTAAAGGTACACTGCCAAAGAGACCAAACTTTTTAAATTTGTTTTAATTTTCCATTTATCGAAACTACATACCACATAGGTATTGTTCGTTATTTTTACTAACTGTGACCTCTCGTTTCATCATTTAAACAAGATATAAAATTTTAGTTAAATTATATTTGAAATTACATACTTAATCTTGACGAAAAATTGTTGTGACGAAAAAGTGTTTCAGCAAAATTAAACATAAAACTTTTCATGCATGCATGAGCAGTGATGGCCTAGTGGCCTCAGCGTGCGACTCTCATCCCTGAGTTCGTAGGTTCGATCCCCCGAGCACCAATGGACTTTCTATGTGCGCATTTAACATTCGCTCGAACGGTGAAGGAAAACATCGTGAAAAACCCGGCTTGTCTTAGGCCCAAAAAGTCGAAGGCGTGTGTCAGGATCACCTACTTGCCTATTAGATTGATATAATATGATCGTGAGATACAGAAATCTAAGGCTCAGACCTAAACAGATAGCTGCACTGATTTATTTAATTTTAAACAAGTTTACAAAAATACTGATCTTAAAATCAATCTTTATACAATTTATAATTCAGTTTACATTGAAAAGAATCGATTATCATGTGCTAGTTTTGTTAATGCAAAAATCTGAGTTATGCAACGACTCACGCGATCACCCAGCTACCATTCATTGATGAAAGTATAAATTAGCTATAAAATAAATTGCGTGTTTTTACATTTTTTATTGGTATTTATGTTAATTAGACTACAATAAGTAGAACGTTAACGAAGGAGCTATTAAAGGCGCTAGAGAGAAACCGGTGGAAACAGATTGTCGGCTCCAGATGCATCTTTGCTGACCACGAGGAGATTAAAGGCTTTGTAAAGATATCAAAGACTACATCTTGGTTTCTGTGGCTTATACACTCCATCGATACAGCACCACCTTGATGGATGGAAGTCTTCCACGGTCCACTTCACAAGGCTGTCTTTTGCGACTCCCGGTAGGGGGAGATACGACCTCCAATTGTTTAATGAAAGAGTACTCCTCCCTCCAAGGCTAGCTAATTAAACACTAAAATGGGTGACTATGGGCTACAGTGACTGAATTTTTTTGGAGTCCCGTACGCTAGTTTGCCTACCTTTTCTATATAAAAAAACTATCTATTATTCGGGTCTAAGCCATTCCTCACAAATTTTCCTTTACTGAACGAGGATTATTAGCTTTCCATATAAAGGGCTAAGCTAACACTAAGAGTTAGCGTTAGTCCACACATGCATCCTCAGAATATATCCTCGGAACAAACTTGTGTCTGAAGTCGAAACTCTACTACGTGGAGTCTCAGACTGGGGCAGACTAAACCTAGTCCAATTTAACCCCAAGAAGACACAAGTTTGCGCGTTTTCCGCTAAAAAACACCCTTTGTCGCTACTCCTCTTTTCGAAAACACTCTTCTTAAAGCCACAGCCAGCATTGGAATACTTGGCGTTGACATATCGAACGACGTTCAATTTCGCGGTCACTTGGAGGGAAAGGCTAAATTAGCCTCCAAAAAGCTTGGTGTGCTCAGCAAGGCGAGACGGTACTTCACTCCGGGCCACCGCATGCAACTATATAAAGCGCAAATTCGGCCCCACATGGAGTACTGCTCTCACCTCTGGGCGGGGGCTCCCCAGTACCAGCTCCTTCCACTTGACCGTATTCAACGCAGAACGGTTCGAATCGTCGACGACCAATCCCTCTCCGAGCGGCTTGCTCCTTTGACGTTGCGTAGAGATGTGGGGTCACTCTGCATCTTCTACCGCATTTACCATGGAGAGTGTTCAGAGGAGTTGTTCGGATTAATACCTGCAGCTGAGTTTCGTCATCGGACGTCGAGGCAGAGTACGAAATTCCACCCGTATCACCTCGACGTCCGCCGTTCCACAACTGAGCGTTTCTTAAGGCAGATTTGCCGCGCACCACCAGCTGCACAACCAGCTGCAAAATTCGATCTAGAGTAGTTCAAGACAAGAGCGTACCAATTGTTAAAAGGCCGGCAATGCACTTGTGAGCCTTCTGGAAATGTGAGTGTCCATGGGCGGCGGTATCACTTAACATCAGATGAGCCTCCCGTTTGTCTATTATTACATATTAAAAAAATATTTTGATATAAATCAAAGTAACTTTACCCTGTCTGTAAGGGTGAAATTCAGAATAAGCGTATAAGTATGTCAAAAAAGTCCTGGATAATATACGGCAGATATTGCTAGCTAATTTTTACTCCGAATCTTACCCTAAGATATTACGAGCGAAATCGCGCAGCAGCCAGTTTAATAATAAATGTAATCAGGACAAAGGTAATTGCTGTCCACTGATAATAACACTCAATACTTGAAGTGGGTGTATATCTTTATGGATTTATTTATAAATGCAGAAATAGTACGTTCAACTAGACTAACTTATAGTACTTAATAAGGGAATTAATAATTGTATTTTTTACGGTAGTTCGTTGGAAATATTGAAAACATGCTTTATCGAGAAAATTAGACTATAAAAATGAGTTGTAGGTATTAAATATCTTATTTTTTATTTATATAAATCGATAACGTAAAAAGCGTTCATGCACGTGTATATACGTTTAATTAAGTTTAAGTTACCATATTTATGTGTTTTCACATTGATATTTTCTTCAATAATTACATAGGAGATTTGCATTTTGTGTTTGTCAAAAAAAGCCTTATTTCTATTTAACTTCAATTAGCCGTATCTTTTACGTCATGACTACATTACAAATTATAATTAAAAGATGTTAATTTGGTAATATTCCACTTGAAGTATCGTTGAAAAGATCTTGAACGATTGTTACTTACTAATATGTCTGAAATACTGAATTCGTTCGAAATTGATAAATTGGAAACTAAAAAAACTTCCTTGTTCTTTTTTTGTAAGGCAAATGGGCAGGGGGCTCACCTGATGTTAAGTAATGCCACCGCCCATAGACACTCACATTGCCAGAAGGCTTGCAAGTGCCGGCCTTCAAAGAATTGGTACGCATACCAAATGATAAATAAGCTTATATTTATAATTTGTTTTAATTTAATTTCTCATTTGGATTCATCCTTATTTTTTGACCATCGCACGAGCCGTGACACCTAAAATCCTGAAGTATTTCTTTGAACCAGCATCAGAAAGAAGGTCATTTTTCAGTGGTATATTTGGCTACCAACAGAGGGCTTCCCATTCATATACGAATTTCAACTCTATAATATTTTGTAAACATTTTCGGCAATAAGAAAACCCGACAAATTGGGCTCTTCGCAGATCCTGTAAACTGAAGAGATCGTGTATTTCATACAATATCAGAATTTCGACTTCGAGTCAACCTCGAGTAGTAGTCGAGTAGTAGTAGTAGTCTAAGTAAGTAAGAGCCTATTTTACGTAAACCGGCCGGCACTCCCACAAAGATCCATGCGTATCTTCGGATGCTGTGGGAGTTCATGGTGTCATGGGTAGAGATATTTTCTCCCTCTGTTGATAAGACGACTCCTTTTGGGCACGCCCACAAACTGCAGTATAATTATGACTTATTACTTAATGTGTGATATACAAAATATCCACTGAAACATTTAATAAAGTTCTAACAACCTTGATGTATTTTTGATCTTTGTTATCAATTTTAACAAATTGTGCACGGGCATTGTTCATATTGTAAATTAGATATGTATACTCGCTTGCTTTGTTCATTATTTAAACAATAGATTATATTTTCTTATAAACAAAGAAGTGTGATCAATATGCGTATAAAATATCTTATTTGAATTATAATTATAGGTTTTAAAGACAGATCAATATGTTTTTTATTTATTTATCTTTATATATATAATTCTTCTGTGAGTGTGTATGTCACTGAACTTCTCTCAAACGACTAGACCGATTTTGATGAAATTTTTTGTGTGTGTTCAAGGGGATCTGGGAATGGTTTAGATTCACAAATCAGCCCGGCAGATGGCACTGCAGTCGGTACTTTCATACTTTGCTTAATATCCTAATCGCTTTAAATATCATGCAGGACAACGTCTGTGGGGTCCACTAGTTTATTTATAAAAGCTTGCCAACGCTCGGCACACTGATACATTGATAAAAGAGAAATAAAATACAATTTTTAATGTGTCAAGCACTTAGAAATTATACAGGCAAACATAGCATAATATAAGAAATAATAAAAATAAATTAAGCAAAACAACAATATAATTTAAATAAACATTAAACGAAAATCGCTCTTAATATGTGAGGGGAGCAACTATGGATATCCAGATTTTTAATTGATGCAATGCATTAATATGTTCAGCCAAGTAATACTTTTCTAGGTTCCGAAGAGTATTGGTTCGATGCCTGGTGAAACAATAAAAACGAACTCAAGAAGTTGTTATAGGTATACCAAAAGTACGTGCTCTAAGATTAAATCGTAATCTATTATGTGAATATTGTTTAAAACTTAAAGTTGGCTACCGTATTGTCAGTATATTTTTTACTTTCCAGAGAAACTGTAATTCATTTAGTAATGGTAGTCACGCTTTGAAATGCCAAATATTATAAATTTAATCATTAAATGATACGATTTAATTCTTTGTTGAAACTTTTTTATTACGACCAAAATTTGTTGCTAATTCACAATGTTACCTAGGTAACATTTCGCCATCAGTAATTACATCGATAATAATCTAAGATTGAATAAAGAAAATTAAAATATTACTTTCAATTGAAAGCCGCAGAAAATCTGATTCGCCGCAGACAGCACGTTACACTCAACAAGTTCAAAATTATGAACATTTTTATTTTTATAGACTTTTGTATCCATTTTTTGTTTGTCATGCAGAAAGTTAGATTAACATAACAAGATTTTGAACTTTATTGCACTTATATTTATCTACAGATTAGGGAATAATCAATGAATAACGTTTTTGACATACATAAGTTCACACTAAGTCTCGACTTTCCATCTTACCCACACTCAGATTCAGAGTCAACATAGGCCTACTACTCATAAGTATGACAAAAACGTATTGGATATTGACATAAGGACGTCACACTTAGTCACCAAATAAAATATACAAAAGTGAATAAAAACGTACGCGTCAACTACTGCTTCGGCTTTTCTTAAAATGGGTTAAAAATTACTCTTTATTAAATACTACGTTAGACATACATCTCTCACACCGAGGAATTACGTTTAGTAATGTATAGGAATCATCACGAGGAATCCATAATGTCTTAAAATAACGACGTGTGTAGGCTACAGAAGGCTGATCACTATTATCAACCACAATAAATCAGAAATGCCTGGACACATCCCTTATTGGGAGGCTATTGACAGTGGCGTAACTTTACTATATGGGGCCCGTGGAAAATCTTCTTTCGTGGCAATTGTTTTGATGGGGCCCTATCAGTAAAAATCGTCCCTACTCAGGTTAATTTTAATAAACTTCGAGATTTTCAGCGTACTCAATTACACGTTGTATATGTCCCACTAATGGCCATAGGCCTCTCTTATGCGAGAGGGAATGATCTGTAGTCCCCACGCTAGCCCAATGCGTATTGGAGACTTCACATTCATCTATAAAACATAATACCTCTTGGGTCGGGGGCCCGTGGCATTTTGCCAGCCCTGCCACCCTATTGTTACGCCACTGGCTATTGAATACATTTGAAAGGATAGCTGTGAAGTGAGGTAGAAAAACAACACGGCAGATCGTATCGCTTGACTGTAATTGGTCTAGAGGTTATACCAATACCAATAATAATATATCTTGATTTTTGTTAATCCTTCTCCCTTCTTCTTCTCCTCACTTCTGTATACAATTCAGTCTTTTCTAAAACATTGTATTTATTAAATACCTTTTCGCAGTGTTGGCCTAGAAGATTGAGGGCTAAAACTTAGGTCACATGAAATTGTTTAATATATTACAATTTAAAAAAACTGCTTCATTAAAATCCTTCTACTACATAATTGACACAAAGTATGTCAAGTGTTGTGTTAAATTCAATAATACCTGCAGGATGTCTCAAAAGGAAGTTCATATTTAGTTGATCGATTAAAAAAAAGTAAGTCGTGTATCAAAAAAGTTTTTATTCATTAGTACACATTTTGGAAACTTATTTCTTAAAAATAATACCGTCCAAATGTAGACCCTCGCGTTCGCGGCACTCATTTAGTCAAACAATAAAATTACTTATGACGGCTCGGCAGGTGGACTCAGTGATGGCTGCCATTTCGTGACGGATATTTTCTTTCAATTGCGCCAGAGTAGTCGGCTTATTGGCGTAGACTTTAGATTTAAGATAAATCATAAGAAAAAATCCATAGGGGTTAAATCAGGACTACGTGGAAGCCAATTTATGTCATCTCTCCTGAAGATCAATTTGCCTGAGAAAATTTCACGAACTCGTGGCAGAGAGGTATTGGACGTGTGTGACGTTGCTCCGTCCTGCTGGAACCATGTTCTTTGGTCATAGGCAGGAAAGTTTTGAAGTTCAGGCATCAAGAAGTCGTCTGACACATAACGCTAAATAAATAAATCTAAACTTTCTTTTGAGACACCTGTTATTTGTAATTTATATTAATAAGTTATATTTGAATTTACGCAATAATATAAATAATAAGAAAATTATAATAATTGCTGACGACAATGCGATTCTTTCTTATTTATCTAATACAAAATTAAATTCTTAGTTAAAAAATATAATAAAATGTAAAAAGACTACCTCTTCTAATTACTTAATTTGAATTTTGTAAAAAAACTTTTACATGTACTTATAATTACTGTTTTAATGAAAGGTGGCAAAATTATTCAGAGTTGACTTTTTTAATTGGATACTATTTTAATTACAGCTACAAGCAACTGAAACATAGGATAAATAGATATTTGTACTAATCCTTGATATAATTTTTCCATAATTCTCGCCTAAAACGTTTATTACGATGGGAAATCCATATACACTCCTTGGTAAAGTGCGGGACGTATGGGTCTTGGAGGCTTAATGGATACTTACCTACTAAAAGGCAACGGCCGTATCATTATCACGGGTGACAGGGTATCAGTTTCCCATGATTTCTCGTGCCCATGGCAGATCGTCCATACACATCTTTTTTTAATTAAATGAATATAAGGATACGAAAACCCGCACCCATGGATGTCGAGTTTGACGAGTCTACACAAAGCCTTTGCTCTCAGAGGGGTAGCGAGACCCTACCCCTTAAAAATACCTCAGCACTCAACACGCCCTTAAGATGGGCCCTCGGGCTTCGCCAAGGCATTCAACCCATCTATCCATAAACATCCTACCCTCACCTTATCTTAAAATTATCATCATTCATGTACAATCTGTGTTCTTTAAGTTATTGTAATCATATTCACTAAGTTATCTGAGCAAAATAGCAAATAAAATTAATCATGTATCCTGATTAGTAATAGTCTTAAAAATAAATTAGAAAACGTCGCACCGTATATTGAAAAAACATTCTGACATCAGTCATATTTGATGTTAAATAATGATTTTCTTCTCTCGTCTTACACACTTTTGTCTTTTTATTAAGTACTAGCGACCCGCCCGGCTTCGCACGGATGCAATGCTGATACTAAATTAAAAGTGCTATAGAGTATAGGGAGAACCGCGGCCTCAGACGCGCTGCGTCCCGCAATTTTTAAATTTGTAATATCTTCGAAAATATTCATTTAAATCATATGCTGTAAAGGGCCATATAGATCTATATTAAATCAATGTATTTAAGGTATTTAATTGGATAAGGATTAATGCTGTATTGGTTAAAATCGCTTCGAAAATTAGCCATTATTTGTCTTAAATATTTATGACAAAAAAAAATTATTATTGGATATCCATGAGAGATAGACATATACCATCGCGGAGTTTTCTGTAGACCTTTTCAATGTGTACAATACTTAGTAAATTATTTTGATTAATCTCGTAGGGTTCGCCATGTAAGCGGAAAAACAATCTTCAATCACTCTATCTATTAAAAACCGCATCAAAATCCGTTGCGTAGTTTTAAAGATTTAAGCATACATAGGGACAGAGAAAGCGACTTTGTTTAGACTAGTTTAGACTAGTTTTTTATACTATGTAGTGAAGTCACGAACATTACATACAAATAACCCTTGTTTGTTCTAAAGAAAACTTACGTCCATGTATGTAGTTATAATATTTACATTCAAATAATAAATATATTATTTTCAGGTAAAACGAGCTCTCTAATCAGCATATCGGAAGCGTTGGTGCCAGTAATATATTCGCCGGTCTACAGCAAGGTATACTTGAGTACATTGTCCACGTTCGCTGGAGCTTTCTATCTCATCAGTGCCAGCTTAGCAGTTCCTGCTAGTCTAATTTATATGTAAGTACTGTCAATTGTAAAGAGTTTAAAATAGGTAACAATATCTCTTTAAGTTCCACTTAAAAAGACTCACTTCAAGAAAAGAGGGCGGCAACGAACTCGCGATCCTTCTGGCATTGAGTTTCCATAGGTATGGGTATGACTTAACATCAGATGAGCTTCTTGCCCGTTTTCCTAGTTCTATAAAAAAGTAAGGGTTTGATTTAGAATTACGTCGCACGAATTAAATGATACTGATTATGCAGGAGTCTCTGGGGACCTTGATTGGAACACCTCCAAGTAATTTTTGCTGCCGGAAATGCGTCTAAGTATTTAAAAAAAGTTTTGTGTCATTACACACTATGGAAATTTGTAAACAATCCGACATTTTCTACTATTCTATTGGTTATAAGAGATGTGTGATGTGACATTCTCGTTAAAAAATCGGTTTTTAATTATTAATCGATTGTGTTTTAGCATGAATAAAAAATAATCGATGTTTTTTATTTATCGATTATTTCCTCATTTTTTAATTTTAAAGTTATATATAGAATAATCAACATTGAAATTAACCTAATTTCGTGTTGATAGATTATACAAGTACCATACCATATGTATAAAAGTACCCAAAAACCGAATCAGAGCACCCCACTATCCACGTGGTCTTGTCTGCCCTACCCCTAGAGTGTATATTATAAAAAATGATTACTACACCCCTCCTCCTCCACCCCGCAACCCCAAATTCGTGCGACGTAACTGTAAATCGTTACCAAAAGTAATTCAGTTTTACTATACTGTAATTACGTGAACAGTAACTAAACGCTTCTAAAGGTCTTAAGTTGAATAATATGTCATATCTCCGCTATCGCCACATTATAAAAACGATTTACTAAAATAAAATAAAAAACATTACATACTGCAAGTTTTACAGTACAGGCCATTACGATAATGTTGAGAAAAAATAAAATATAATACAGTATATAATATTAAACACATAATATGCACAATGTCGCTACTGTGAATTCATTCCGCAAACAAATCGATAGTATCTGACAAATATCTTTATTTCTAGGCCTATCGGCGCGATAGTATAAAAACCAAACTAACATACATTTGTGAATAACCAGTGAAATAAGTCTTACAAAGATATAATATGAGTAATATCGGATATTTACGTGCCGTATTTATCCACGTGCCGAAGCAATACATAATGACAAAAAAAGGCCTTCGGTCAATCACGCCCTTACATTTCTACAAAGGAACAGCCTTGAACTGTGTTTTCTTATTAAAAATAATTCTACGTGGACAGATAAGACAATTTTACAAGTAACTTTTGCACAGTTAAGACAAAAAACACGACACATTGCAAAGTTAAGTTTAATTCATTTTGCAATTTTATAACACTTGCGTTAACTATTAGATATTATTTTCAAACTATTTAAATTGGCACAATGTTGGAATGTTCTTACGTCGCGTTTTTACTAGGAAGAACTTCCATGAATTAATATTATTAACACTATCATTTAGTAGTTATGACCTCACTACTGCGTTAAAAAATACAAAAATAGCAAACGCCAGACTGTGGGTCATATGGAGTATTTACATAATATTTTAAACAAATGTTTCAGTAATTTTGACAGTGACATGAAAGTCATACGGTGTATTTCCTTCTTGGCCTTGACATAAACTAGTACATAACATACAGAGTACCTATTAAACTATAAAAAAACATTTTTGTTCTAGAACGCTTTACATCATTCGACGAAAGGAAATCCAGCAAGAGCAGTCCACAGAAAATAAACGTGATGGCGAAGTAACAAGATTTTAGCCGATTTATATTATTGTATAAAAAAATATTTATTGTTAAGTTTATTTTCTAATTAATACCTATGTACCTATTAGAAAATCTCAATAAAGATAATGTTTCTATTGATAACCCGGAGTTTCTTTTGTAATTTTTACGTTTATAAAAGTTTGATTATTGAGTAAAAAATGGGTTGTATGTTTGAAAGCAATTGTATTTGATTTTATAATAGAACGAGTATTTTCATACCTGGTTCGATCATCTTTTATTTGTCGTACTAATTTCCACCATACAAATTACAGCCTGGCCACGATGTGGAAAGTAATAGCTTTTGGTTCAAGACCTAATATTTGGAACAGATTGTGGAGTACATGATTTAAATAAGAATCGAGGTATAGATGGAGAATTCCACAAAAAGTACGAGAAATACAGAATATAACCAGAAAATATTTTTTTGAGTATACCAGTATTGAAACATTCGATTATATTTTTATGTATATTTAACCAGAATTGGAGAAAATAGTTAATGCAAATATATTATTTAGTTAAGCCAGTATATCAGTAATAAAAAACTCAGTATTCATTTTTCGCCGCGAAAACGACTAAACTTATTTAATCCCTGCTCTATTCGCCGCGACTGCCGCTCGAATCCGTGGCTTGCACAGTTGCACCGTACTGATTCATGCATATTTTGTTTCGCTCGCCCGTCGCGACGTCAGTCGCCCGCGCGATTCGCTCGGTACATTTCGCCGGTCGCATCGCCGGTCGCCGTTGCGCGTGGCTTGATAAGTACATTGCTATGAGTTTATTTCAGTCGCTAGACGCATCGCCGTTTGCACCGCGCGAATATTCGCATCGGCGAATGTCCCGTGGCCAGGCTGTTACTCTGTCCCTGACATGAGTTGCGAAGGCAAAGTTGCACCGTTGAATAGAATGCTGCATGCAAAAGTTTGAAATCAAATTACCGTACGATCGAATCCCAGGGCGGCCACAATATTTCTTATGATTTAGTTTTTTTTTCTCTGTTTGGTACCGACATTGTAATTACTACAGCTCCGCAAAATATTCTTACAGAAGGAAACAATTAAAAGTAAAAAACAATTTTAATAGACAATCTTCACAATAACATTACACCCTCACCAAAACCAAGTGTGACTGTGTGACACTATAAACTAATCATCGCGTTATTCTCTGGCTTTTTACAGAAGACTGGAAAAAAACATTGGCAAAACAACTGGCAACAAATAATTGCGCTTTCTTACACGTAAAAAAATTATGGAAGATCAATTCCAACTACTCTCTTGCGGTGTGGTCAAGTGTACACCGGTAATTCAGAGTGCTATATTTTTTATTAGTCAATTAAATGTTAATAATTATTTAATGCAAATATTGCAGTCAAATATTGTTCAAATACAGTCAAATATTTTTTAGTGTCTATAAAAAAATTAATAAATTACAAACCTGTCCTATAAAATCAGGATATTTTCTAAATTGTGCAAGAATTATTTTTCCAATTCGATGATACCCTTTCGAAAAATTAACTTTTGTTCCTTTCCTAACTCCATTTTTGAATACAGCTTCCGGTACGTTAATGATTACAAAGCTTCAAATTACTCGGAAAAATGTTCTAAAATTAAACTTAAGTGTTAAAAAAAATAAGCTAACCTCTTTTTCACTTTTTTGTTACTTGTTTGTTAAAACCGGCCGATTAATTATAACTGAATAATGTTACTCCCGCTACTTGCTCAAAATAACTTATTGCATTATTTATTTATTACATAGTATAGTAATCATCTTTCTTTATATATGTCTTTTCGCAGTACTTGACTCGACAATACGTTTCGTTTACTCTCTGCTATCGTATCAAATGTTCATGACTTTAATTTTTACTACGGTGTTATTAAAAGCCGATGCAATAATGATAATGATAATGATTAGTGTAATCAAAAAACGAGTAACTTGAAGAAAAAAATCCACTACTCAATATTTAATTTTATCTATAATTTTAGAAGCATTTAAAGATCAGTAAAAAAGGCCCTACATTAATGATTAACAAAAATTATTATATATTATTGCAAATTTTTATTAAAATGTCTTACACTGATAGAAGAATTTATTAACTATTAAGAATTTAATTTATTTGAAGACAATTATTTAATTTATTAAATTTTAATAAATATTTATTTGGAAGGAAAGTACATTTATTAATAGTTAATAAGTATTTATTAACAGTTAATAAATATTTTGTTAAGTGAATTTGTTTCGCTTGCAATGTCATATTATGATATTATCAAGATTGCTTATAAACAAAAATCATCTTTATAAATTATTTGCATCAATTATATTACATTATAATAACATTTGTTGTCAAATACCAAATTCTATTCAAAACTTAATCATAACTATCTTTTATACTTTTAAATATTAAAAACGTTAATTTATTTCAGCTATAGGGTTATAAAAAGTGGCGAAAGAAAATTGTTATTTTTGCTTTTTATTATAAATAAATCGTATTTCAGAAATAATTTATTAACTGTTAATAAATATTTATTAAATCCTATGATGTTAAAAAATCCTTTATTAACAATTTATAAAGCTTATTAAATACAAACTGAACCTTCTATCATTGCAAGGAATGACAAATAATGTTACACATTTTGCTATAGAAGTTGTGATTTTATTAGATTACGTTATTCTTCAAGCGAAGCTTTGACTATAGCGCGAAGTATCCTGTTATTTATTTTTCCCGAATCTGAGTATGGCATCGTCTCCAAAAATCGTATACCTCCTCTTAATTTCATATAGTCCGGTAATTTTTTCTGTACGGCTCCGTTGATATCATCTTCTGTGACCTTAAATAAAGAATAGTCAACAATGGAGCTAAAGTGTGAATATTTTCAAATAACTCTGTTGTATAAAAAAATCTCCTTTGCACTTACTTGCATTCCATGAGCAACGGTAACAAACGCCATAGGAACTTCATAGTAATCCGGATGTTGCTGAGGAAGTACTGCCACTTCATCCACTCCCGGAACTTCTTTTATCACCTCGACGATTACTGAAGACAATGTTCTGTTGGTGTAGATAGAAATCAATTCGTTATTTCTTGCAACCAAAAAAAAATCACCGTCGGTATCACAGTACCCCAGATCTCCGGTATGGTACCACCCTAAAAAACAATAAATTATTTTGAAATAGTCACAAATTTATTTATCAGTCAACTTCTTGAATATTATTTTTTAGTGCAGGAATTTACCTTCAGAGTCAACAGCATCAGCAGTTGCTTTCGGATTGTCCCAGTATCGAGTCATCAACTTCGGCGTACGTAGGTAGATTTCTCCTTCTTCATTTGGCCCCAGAATTTTATTATCCTTCGGATCAACTACTTTTATTTCTACATTCGCCATTACTCTTCCAGCTGATGTAACTTTATAAAAGTCAACTTTAATACTCAGCGCACCTCCAAATTCAGTTCCACCTGTAGCAATAAGTAATTTAAGAATAACAGGTTTAAAAAATTAAAAAAATAGTTAGAAGTATCCACCATAATGACAATAAAGATCTGCATTGTAGAACAATTTTTGCAAAAATTTGATCGCTTCTCCGTCACTTTTTCCTCCACCAAAAGCCACCATTTTAACTGATGAAGGATTGAACTTCAATATATCTGGGGTCTTCATCAATCTGATAGCTGTATATATTGTCATCCACAGCTGAGTAACCTGGAAAAGTTATATTTTGTTAGTATTTCATCCTAATAATTTTCACGATTTGTTTTGAACTGACCTTATACTTTTCGATTAATTCCAAACTTTCTGTTCCACTTAGATTTTCAGCGACAACCATGCTAGCTTTGAAAACTACCGATCTAATGACTGTCCTAATTCCAACGATCGTGTTGATTCCAAAAAATCCGATTACAGTTGAAGGTTCCTCATCGTTTTTAAAGTACTTCAACATGTTGGCGTAAGAACCGTAAGAGTGAAGAACTCCCTTTGGAAGATTAGTAGTTCCGGATGTGTTGATGATTATGGCTGGATCTTCTGGTTTAACATCTGTGCATTTGAATTTATCGACTTCTTCATCATTCTGAGCTCTTAAAATATCTGCAAAAGACAACAGACCATCCTTTTGCCCAAGAACGATGATGGGCAGAGAATAACCATTTTTTTTAGCCGTTTCGACTACCATGTCTGCATTGATTTGATCGATGAACATCACCTTAGGCTGTCGTGTCTCTATGTAATACCTCACGAGTTCTGTTGAATCAAATAAATTTTAGTGAAGAATCATATAATTTTAGTCTAGGTCTAAAGATGCTTTATGGTTTACCTTCATCCATGTATAAGTGTGACAAAGGACTGCAAATAGTACCGAGGTACAGAGAAGCGAACAATGGTATGCAACAGTCCAGCTGATTCTTTGAGCACAATCCAACTACATCTCCTTGGTGGATTCCCTGGTTGATTAGCCACAATGCGCATCTGATACTTCTATCACCCATACTCTTGTACGTATCTTCTTTTCCAGTAAGACTATCAATCTGTCATCAATCGAGTTAGGATTCGAAATTATATCCAAAATTATGCTATGTTAATAGATCTTATACCTGTCCTATGAAATCCGGATTTTGCTTGAATTGGTTAAGAATACGTTCTCCAAGTTTGAAGTATCCTTCCGGCATGTCATCTCTAACGCCTTTCCAGATTCCATTTTGATAGATTGGTTGCGAATCCTATTCAGCAAATATTAGCGTAAGTTATGTAAATCACTATATTATTCGAACATTTTCAAATACTTACTACTTGGTAATTTAGAGCCATTATTGTGCGATGGAAATGCTGGACTCAACGAACTCACAGAATCAGACACTCTACAGAATCGCAAGGCTGTTTAATAAACACTTAGTTGTTGTTGAAGCTAATGCTACGTACATTTTTAATTGCATACATACCTTAAAATATTTTTCATTAGAAACCGCCAATCAGACCATTCCACATAATCCTTTTTTCTTTTCCGAACAT